CCCTGCTGCAGATTCCCTACTTTGAGCAAAGATTGGACAAGATGATTACATGGGTCCCTTCCAACCGCAGCTATTATGTTATTCTGTAAATCATTAGGCTTTCTGAGGTTGAATTGAAGATAACTGATGTTGCATAGGACAACACTGGTTTCCTGCAGAAAAAATAAATTCACTCTTCAGTGCTCACAGATGCACATTAAGCCTGCAGACGACTGCTATTATTTTTGTACATTTATACACAATTAGGTATAAAAAAATAGCGAAGCAAAAAAGTGACCATTCTTCCACAATTGAGGATGGTGTGCTGTAAATATTTATAGTGACACACTAAAGTACATTTATTTCACTGCAATGCAGAAAATACACTTGAAATCTTGCAAAGAAGTGTTTTGTTCTTTTAATATTCAGCAGTTCTTATTAAGTTCAACATCATGTCTTAGTTCATATATTTTTAAATAGACAATATTAGCCTTAGCCCTGAGAATGTTACTTGAAAGAACAAAATATTTCTGAAGGCAAAGATGGTAAAAATTAAACTCTAGTTTGATTATATAAAAACAGGAAACAGTAATGTGTTAAAATAACTAAAGCATATGTTAATGATGGACATAAAGAGCAAATTGTAAAATACTACTACTAACTACACTGCATAAATGCGTAGAACCACCATATATCTCTAGAGTACTCTTAAATGTCTGATCAAAATGAATTATGAATATTTCCTGCTTTTGTTCTTTTCCCTGTGGAAGACCTGCCTAGCACAAACTGAATGAATTTGCCCATAGACAATCTAATCACAGAAAATATGGAAGCAACATGTGTTAAATCCCAACCCTAATCAAGGCTAAAGGGGAAAGGCCACAATTTCTACCATATTTGAAAAACTTAAAGCACTTATCAGCCCTCTGCAGGAGAGGGCTCTGCATTTCAAAGTGAATAATCATGTGGTTCTTAGCTCTCCTGGTTTGAACTGTGATCATTTTTAAAAGATGAAAGTAAAATGCTATGAGCAAACATGAGAGTGCATATTAGAAGCAGGGCACATTAAGTAAACTATTCAAGATGTACTCTGGAGTAGAGATTTGTAGACTATATTCCTCTACTGCACAGAACAGCATAACAAATACAGGCATCACAGATGAAGCTGTGGTTTGCTATTATGAGCTACTTGTTAAAAGCTGACAGACGAGCACACAGGAAAATTGAACACTAATTTGTGCAGGCATACTGAGCAGCAGGGTCTCTGTGCTGGTGACCCAAAGACCTTTATTTAGGGTTAAACACAACTTACAGAGTTTCTGATACGAGAGCAGCCCCTACCCTGGCAGGCAGCACGCGGAGCCCAGCAACCAACAAGCCAATAAGCGAGGGGAATCATCTGCTGACCACGTGCGAGGCTGCCCAATGAGCTGCCTGCGGCCCGCGTGGCTCCCCCCCCCGCCTCTCCTGCTCAGCTCCCCTGTCTACCGAGGAGACGCTGCCCAGCACCGGCCGCAGGGGGACTGCAACATCTGCCCTTTGTTTTTTGCCATTATGATTCCAGTGAGGATAATGAAGAAAGGGAGGAGGAGGCTGTTGCTAGTGCCAGTCGGACCCATTGTGCAGGAATCCATGCAGGCCTTATCTGTGGAGACACAAGCATACCCTCGCCCCCATGTTATCAGTGGTACTGCTTTTCCCAGCAGCCAGTCCCTGGGTCCCGCACCTCCACTATGGCTTTACGAGTTTGAGTTGGTTCTCTTCTGCCAAAATGCCACAGCATTGGTGGGACCTCATCCGCTTTCCTTATCCTCGTGGTAGCACAATTTGTACCTCCACCAAGCAACCCCTCCATGGAAGCAGTAGAAATCACTAAGAAACTCCTTTATAAGTTGGTCATCAGTCAGTTTGGAGATATGGGTTGTTCCCACAGTCAATATTTGGTGGTTTCCAACAGCAGTAGGTTTATGGATAGAAGATTTATTTTCTTTTGTTGAATGCATTTCATCCTCAATTCTTCTAAAAGGCATCTTCATAAATACTTGCTGCTTCTCAAGCTGTTACAGGTTATGGTGTTTAAGTGGCGATCCTGGTAGTAGCTGGAAAAGATGTCATTCACAGGGGAAGCCCTGAATGTGTATTTAGAATGGCTGCATAACAGAGATGTCAGTATAACCCCTTCATATTCACAGGTTCACAGGTTGTGATTTCGGCTATGGCGAGGATCTCGTGCTTAACTCCTGGATGGCAGGTGTACATCACCGTGCTTGATCCGGGTAGGTTTTGTCTAAAGCTACAAGGTGTGCCATCTCCCATTTCTACAGGGTAGTATGGAGTCATATGCTCTTCTGTATTTCTGTAGGTATCTCTTTTGGATTTTCCTTTTCTTCTTGATGTGGTTCTGACAGTGGTTCTTTATCATCATTTTCCCAAGACAGTATCCTTGGATGTTTGTTTCCTGACCAGTTTCTTTCTCCTCTTAAAAAGGCGTTCCAGCAGTTCTCCTGGAGTAGGACTGTTGCAGCCGTTCCCTTCTTCCTCACTGCCCCAGACATGAGCACAAGGATCTCTGCAGCGCTCAGATCTCCGCAGCACTCAGGACGAGGCGGTTACACAGATCCCGCTCGCGGGCGGGCCGGGCTGCGCGCGGCCCAGGTGGCCGCGGAGCTGCCGCCACCAGCCCCTGCCACCGGCCACGTCTGCCCTGTCCCGCAGTGTCACCCCGACCTTATCCCATGTTGCCGAGTCATACACTGTATGAGTATTTAGATGTGGTTCTTGCTCATGTACCCATATGAAGCTCTGTTTCAAATCACCCACCTCTCCCGCATTTTTCTGCTCCTGGATCATGGAGTTCCCCATCGGTCTCGACTGCTCACCTCCATCCTGCGGGAGACAGTTGTGCGCGCTTCCTTTCAGCCCAGCTACGCCCTGGTGCAACAAGCGCGTCTGTCGCTATCTCTGTCCCTGTTCGGGCGCCATTTGCTGCACCTTGTGAAGGAGCGGACTCAGTCCTGTTCCTTCGTTAGGTATGAACCCGTAGTTCCCAGCCGCTTACGCCTCTTTCACGAGGCTTTTAGTGCATGCACAAAGGATGCTTCCTTCAGCGTGAACCCCAGAGTTCAGCTGGGCGGTGCAACCGGAGAGACAGCCAGTCTTCGAGCCCCATGTTGGGCGCCATTTGCAGGGGTATGAGCTGCCTGGTCACGCGCTGGCCGCGTGGCTGGCGCTCCCGCCGCACACTTGCATTTCTCCAAATTAAAGACGGGCTGTAAGCACTCCTGGTTGTGAACTCAAAGGAAAGCGGCAAGGACAGCTCTAAAGCAGCCTTTCCTCTTCTGGCTGGGAACCACAAAACTCTCTGAGAATGTCAAAAGATATATCTGATGCATGTTATAGTTGTTTAAAAACAAATATACTTTGTCTTTCCTGTCACTGGCATATTGTTACTAATGTTATTGATACTGCCAATTCAAAGTATTCCAATGACATGATAGAAGTCCTATAAAATTCTGGAGTGCTGGAATTACTTATTTTGGTGTTACTTTAATCACCTGAACTTCTTCTGGGGTGAAGGATGTGAAACTGTTTTATAGAATACTACTTTAGGCTCCTTCCTAAAGTTATAGGCTATTCTGCATTAGGAATGGTAGCTTTACCAAATGAAGCATAACTGCATGAATTTCTTTAACCCGAGTTGAGCAAACAGGTAGAGACATATATGGCTCAGTGACTTGGGCATTTGTCTAGGAATCAAGAGGCCTTAATTCCAATCCAACTCAAAAGTCTGTTTGTTTTATTTGCATTAGACAGTCATCAGAATGATATATGCCTGTGGAAGGGGAATCAGAGCTCATTTTCTCCATCCAAGTCAGTGCCCTGAACACTGTGTTCAAGGAAAAATAACATTTGTGCCTTTTGAGAAGCTTTGTGGGCTATGTGCGCTCTGCAGGAGACTGAAGTGGAAAATGATGAAAATCCAGTAAGGATAAGCATGAGATGAGTGCTGAACCACCTAGTTCTGTCAAGAATGAGGTAGTCCTGGACGTGCATAGGAGGAAAGCTGTATATTCCTGAGACATTTTACAAGAGACATGTCCAGTGTCTCTGGCCTTGCACTCTTTTGCACCTCAGGATTTCTTTAAAGGGCATCACAAAAAAACATTTAGGCAATAACATTCACAGCACTTAAAAGAAAAAAGAAAAAGAAGAAAAAAGAAACAACACACAACGAAGCAGCTGTACGAATTTAAAAGTGTGTCAGAACAAGAAGAGGTCTTTTTTTTTTCTTTTTTTCTCCTCATAATATTGCTTTTGAGACTGTTTCCTGTTTTTTTTTTAAGAATGGTTCTTTTAATATTTCTTAAATGTTAAATATTTTAAGGGACAGGGAAAGTTCATTCTGAAAACTATTGTCATGAAATAGAATCAAGCTCAAGGAGTTTTTTCTTTTAGATTCTTAGCACTAGATCTGAATGCACACATGACCTTGAAGCTGGCCATCCTCCCTTCGAGATTATGCCAGTTTTAAAATACGTCATAGATCTTAATTCCTTGACTGTTTTGAGACATGGATATTTTACAAAGATTTAAGAATTAAAATAGATTTTTTTTTCATTCTGATTTTATGCACCAATGATTCTGAATTTTTTAATAAAATCTACTGCATATTGAACAATTTAATGAAGCACTGAAGTAATTTAAGGTGTAGTTAAACCTATAACCATAGCAACAAGAAAAGTAAAGACACCTTCCATCTCTATGTTGTCATGATCACAGTTATAATGGAAGATATAATGGTGAGTGTAATGTACTGTTTAAAAACGCAGTAATTGTTCAGATCCTACCGATCTTTGCTTCTATTTAAACAAACATATATGCAGATGTACAAAACAGCTTAAATAAGTTAGCAAAAAGATGACTGAAAGAGGACCTGATCCCTCTTATCATTGTGTTAAAAGATATCTCAGAGAAAGTGAGGACCTGTCTGAATTAAAGAATAGTATATCAACAAATGTGTATCAACTGATCATGAATGCATTCAGTCTAGAAATTGACTGAAGACACTTTCAGAGCAGAAATTTTCTTGAAGAGGAACAAAAATTGTTTAGGAAAAAGTAAAATCCCACCTATAGTACTTCTAAAATGACATACTGATTTATTAAATTAATTTGGTGTCATTATGTCTATGGCTGCATCTGTCTGAAAGAGTAGCCTAGTAGTAAATATGAGTAGCTGATATGTAGAATAACACAGCCAATATATAGAATAACACAGTATATGGACTTCAGGAAATTTTACTTTTATTTCTCACTACGCTCAAGGACTGAATGCAGGAATTGTTGTGCACAAAATATATTCATGGAATACATCTGAAAGTTATCAAATTCGTGGTCTCTGAACCTGTTCATGATGAAAACCAAATATGTGAATAGAAATATTTGGAAGATTTGGTTGAAAAATACTCCATGAACCAAACTAAGAAGCTAGTGCAGATGCATCCATCTGGTAGCAAAAATTGAATCCAATGGGTAGAACACATGTTCTAAATTCTGAGATGAAAATATATAGCTATTTGCATTTATTTTTTAAAATACTGCTGTAGCACTGAAGAACTTTCAGCATGTCCACATATTAAAGGGAAAAATGAAAATCTCAGTCTATCAACTCATTTGGCAGTGAGAACTAGCACAAAAAATACAAGCTCTTGTCAGACTTGAAACAGATACAGAATATGATCAATGACAGTCTTTCACTCTGCAATATTGACCAATGACAATTCTAATTCCCATTTTATTAAAAATATAGTCTTAAAAATAAACATATGTATAAATATAATTGCTATCATTAAAATGCACTATAATATCATATATACAACTGTAGTTACAAGATAGAAGTAAGTAGAGATGATGAAAACTAATTAATGGTGGATTTTCAGGTTTTGAAATAAAGATTTCTTTAAAGGAATGACCTAACTCTCCACAAAAAGAATATTTACAAATAATAGTTTTATATCAAAATGTTTTGCTCCATTTTGACTGTATACACTGTATATAACAGCAAATAATGTTATATAGATAATGTTAGGAAAGAAAAAAAGAAAAACAATTTCAAAAGGATCTATCAAACCATTTGATTTATATTTATATGGTATATTTTAACCTTTCAGGACTGTCTTCTTCCTCTCAACCCTGTTACATCCAAAAGGGCATATTGACAAAATCAAAATCAATTTTATGAAGTGTTTTGATTTTGACAGAAGTGTGTCATTCTGTGGAAAATGGTCTGACTCATTTTTTGTCTAAGCTGTGCTACTTACAATGTTGATCTTGCATCAGCAGCCACAAATTATAATCTGTTCCTTATGAGTCTTTAGAAAAGGTACTGTACATTAAAACACAACAAACACCATCTCTGCTGCTTCAGACCCATGCCAAATATTTTATAAACATAGTTACTGGATGTCTGTAAGACATTTTTATTTCTACAATAATTGCAGCTTAAATTAGCATAAATATTCACATAAAGTAAACCTAATGAAATATAAAAGTGTCCCATACTGGAAATGTCCTGTACTGTTTGTAAGAAGAGACACTGGTAGGTAGATCTGGTTAAAATACTGAAGGATTTTAGGATTGCATTGGCATTGTTAACACAGGACAATTTTCTGCCCATTATTCCCTCAATTTACTGCAATTACTGTTCAGAGAATTGCTGAACTTCTCAAAAATTGAGGTAGGCAAATGGGAAGGAAAAAAAAAAGGTTGACAACCCTTCCAAGAGAACAGACAAGCAAATGGGGTCTTTTGAAATGCATCCTTGGTAGATTCAATTTCTGCATCAGAACAAATCATAACCAAGGACACAGGCATATACATGAGATTCTCTTAGAAGGTTTCAAAAACTCAGTAGAAAAGTCATAATTGCTTACTTTCCTATATCGGACCAGCATCCAGTAACTCTTTGCAGTACATAAGATTAGTTCTCTTGAATAACTTTTTTTCCTGATGACCACTTCTGCCTCACCATCTTAGACCTGTTTTTAATGGTAAGCCAAGACAAGGAGATTTGCACATTAATTATGTATTAACAAGAGGAAGGAGAAAACACACACACACACACACACACACACAAAAAAAAAAAAAAAGCTTATCTTCCTTGGACTTTATTATTTATTTGAATGCCTCATTACTTGTTTATCTCACTCTAGTTTTTACAGTCATACCAAACAGCAACAATTTCTCTGCAGAGAAATCCACAGAAAGCAGAGGTTTCACAGAACTGGTCCCTACATCATTGTCTAATAGAAAAAAAAAAGCATTCCTATGCCAAAGGTGATTTTACAAATTTAAAAACAGCTAAGTCGAGCCAGAACATTAAATGAAGCCTCCCAACTGACGTCCTTTGTTCCACTCACTATTCTGCATCTCTAAAACATGTCCACTCTTGTTCAAAAGCCACATGCAGGGGAACCAAAAGCAGGAAAGTAATTCTATGCATCAAGCTCAGCTTTGTAATGCAGCTGGTTCAGAGAACAAGTTCAGCTTGAGTGCTCTTTCAGGCATGATACTCTATTTTAAAGAGGGGTTAATGGCTCAAAGAAAGCAATAAGGCAACCAGACAGGGGAACATGAATAACATAAAGCCTGTCATTATGGGCTACCCCCCCAAAAAAGCTGTTTAACCCAGTAACATCTCTCTCACAGAAGCCCTCTTCCTTGACACATACCCTATTTTCTGAGGCAGAAAAGCAGAAAAAAAAAAAAAAAAAAACGTTAACACAGAAGTGTATGGCTTCGTGCCACATAATTCATCTCCACCATTCCCTCTTTACCACATAGCATAAATCAAACCTGTGAAGTAGCGCAAAGCATCTATACCATATCAAATTGCGGGGCAGCATGTGTTTTGTTTCCTGTGATGTCTCCATGTACGTATGAAATTGTAGGTGAGCCAGAGACTTTTTCTGATATTGTGACAAAATATATGCAGTTGTAGTCGAGGAGGGTCATACCTAATACTTTTAATTATCTCACTATTTAATCGGCAAGCATATGTAATTACAGACTAAGTTAGTTACAGTGTTGAAACATTGGTTTGGAAAAAAATTATTCCCAGAAATAATTTCCAAAACACTTCGAACTACAGAAATGTCCTTTTCATGTTGCTCAAGTTTCCTTTTTCATCTGTTACTTAAAAACTTAATCAGGTAGGGATATTGTGGGCACCCAGTAGATTTACCTACACTAGCAATAATCTCATGAGATGAGCCTTGCAAAAATTCTCATTTCAGTACACTTTGAATTCAGTGAGGGCTAAAAGCACTCAGATTTCTGCTTTTGCTCAAAATGTTAGATAATGCATCGACAATGATCACAGCTAATTATCAAACTTCACTTTCACAGGTGTAGGTCCCAAGCCCTGCATACCTATTTCATATTCTGAGCTGTACAGATGTAAAATGTGTAGGTTTTGTTTTGTGATTTTGCTCTCTCCTCTGTTGTTCTGACAGCCTACAATTTTATTTTAACTGCTTCATAATTCATTAGTGCCACTTTTCTCTAATCCTCCTTCAGCAAGCATAGCAGGGTAGCCTTCATCCAAGCAAAAGTCACAGTGGTCCAGGATTTCTGTTAAGCTTTGCAACTAGACAAAAATAAGCATTTCAAAACTCAAGATAAAATTAGATTTAGATTTGTGGTTTGGAGCTTGTTATTCTTGTCCAGAGAGAGGTATGATTTAAAACCAAAATGAAATGGAAACCTAATAATTACTTTACTTCTGGTAAATCTGTGGAAAGCCATTATGCACCAGCCTGTTACACTTTCTTTGTTACTTCACTCTGCATTTACTGAAAGTCATGTACTTTTCTCTACAGAGAAAAACTCTTAAACAGATGCATTGAAAAAGAACAGATGTGTTCACAAAACAAATTTTCCATGCTCCATTTTCCGCTATGCATGTTTGTTTGTTTATGGAAGAAGGAGGCATAATTCAGGGAACGGATGGTAAAGAACCTGACTATCCATACAAATCATATTGGCTTGAACACTGAGTGGAAAGGACAATTCATTTTAAGGGATTTGCTTGGGTCTGTTCCTGTGCCCAGAATTTCTATAACCTTCTTCAAATATTAACAGCCTTGACACCTTCTTGTCACCTTTATGTGGTGAAATATTCAATTAGTCCCTGTAAACTCACTCCTGTACTCCTGCTTCTTCCAAAGGGCAGAAGAAGAGCATCCAAAAGGGTGCTGTGTACAGAAGGCTTTCACTTAAAGAGATAAGCAAGATCCTATCCTGCCATTAGCTAATCTTTTGTTTCCCTGAAAATGGGCTACTGAAATAAAACTTTAAAAAAAAAAAAAAACAAGGTCAAAAAAAGCACAAAAGGTCAATAACTGAATTCTAAAGGCTTTTCAGTGAAACCTCCAAATATTAGCTTTTATAAAAACTGTGATTTTTTTTGCAGGAAAAGATGAATTCTTTTCTTACTCTTTTCTTATTTTAGTGGTTTTCACAGAGAAAGAGTGCAAGATGAATATCCATCACAAAATCCAATGCAAGCCTTCCACCCTGCCATTTATTGCAAAATTCTACTTCTGCATTCATGTTAGAATGTCATTAGTTAGAAAGATTAAGTTTAGTTTAATATCCCTTATGGTTTTCCACAGTCACATAGTAATTCATTATCTTGTAGAATGTTTTGTGATTGATGCTATAAGATACAACAGGCTGGATTAATCAAAGAGATAACAAGTAGATTTTCACCTCCTGAATATTAATGCATAATTGGAACCTCCATTCATTGACATTCAAAAACAGATAAAGAATAAGCAGGAAATCTGTAGTAATGGACAAAAGACATCCAAATTCCGCCTTTAAATTAAAGCTCACGAAACATTTCTAGATAATAGTGGAGTTTAATATTTATAAAGTGATTTTTGTTTAATAATTTGTATCATTAAAAGAGCAATTACGAATGCTGTTATGCACTTGTTTTCATATTTTAATAACTGGAAATATCATTTATACAACAGTGGCTGGTATTTAACTGATTAGCACAGCCTCTTTCCTAAGCAATCCTTCGTACAGCCTCCAGGCTGGCAGAGAAGCAGGCATAGCTATATTTCCTTTTTAAAATAACAACTCATAAGATACTCAATAGGCATCTCTGCTTGAGTAAATCAGGAAACAGAAGTAAAATATACATAATTAAAGGTATCCAGTGATGGAGTGAATCCCATTGATGCTATGAATTCACAGTTTACTCTATGAATCACGTCGGGATCCATGCATCTGACTCTAGGAAACAGTTTCTGTCAAACAGTGGAGACTCTACAAGTTAGACATTGCAACAAGTTTTGAAACATTCTCTCCACAGATGTTTTAACTATATCACTGATCTGACCTTCAAAGACGCGGAACATACACAAATCCCAATGTAAATAGACTAAAAATAAGAGCAGGAGTTTCTCAGACTTCCTTTAAATAAGCAATTATGATTCATACAGTTGAAATACAGAGTTGCTAATAAGAAACACTAAGCACCTTTTGTTCTCCATTTTAGTCACAGAAATGAGTCTTACATGAAAACATATTGGCATGAAAAACAGATATTTGTTCACAGTGACAGAGAAGTAGCTATATGACAGTAAAAAAAATAATTTTCATATCTTTTTCAAGTAGGGTTATCATAATTGGTTTTTAAAATGAATCATATTTTAAAAGATCGCATTTTAGCTCAGGCAATTTATATATTAGACATTTTTTATCTCACAAGTGAGCAGTAACACCAGAAAAATAGCTTTTACAAGTAAAGGTTTTTAATAATAAAAAGTCATGTCAGTAGAGAAGTTGTTATTCTCACTATGTTTTCTGGTTTTGCTTAACAGTCATATATTAGTGTGCATTAGGAAAAGTGCTTGTTAATAAGTGGACATTTTAGGGGTTTGAAAAAATCTCTCTGAGATAGAAATGAGTGGCTCTTCTCAGCCACTTCATATGCTTTTATTGAAAATTATTATTGTATTTCGTCCAGTTCTGTTAAAGTTGCCTGACTGTTACTTTGCTGTCTAGAAACAGCCATATAAATATTCCACATCAGAGAGATTTGGCAGTTCTCTTCACATGTGCATTTCAAAACATTCAAAATAACCATTAGTTAGATTATTAAAACTAGTTCTACAAGAAGGTTATAAAACTTGTGGGAGACTATAGCTTAAATACATTTTATAGGCTGGGATAATGACTGGAATATTTTGGAACAGACTTTGGTTTGCATTTTCATCTAAGTGGTACTTTCAATGATAGAATGCAGGAGCGTGCTCTGAGATTTTTACTATGCAATGGTAGGCTGAAAGGACTAAAAAGTCAGTAAAAAGTCATGACACAAAAAGATATTGTCGTTAGAATTCATTGATTCATGCCTTACTAGGATTTCTTTCTTGTAATGTTTATGTTAATGATCTTTTAAAGTTATTTAAAAATTGGGACTGTTTCAAAATTTAAATGTAGTTTAACCTCAAGTATATACACCAATTTGTTTTAAGAAATCTGAAACTTTATATGGTGTTACACTACAAAATAAAATAAATGTCTGGCACTTAGAGCATGCAAATAGTAAATCCTGACACTTTTCTCACTAAATGGCAGCTTTTCAAGGATAATAAGCTACCCATTATATTTCCTGAGTACAGTGAGTGAAAAATATGCTGTTAAATAAATGAATATCTTCAAACCTTTCACTTCTTAAATTTTAAAAAAGTGCTGGTAACAGAATCTATAAATCTACAGTTATAACTGGGGCAGTAACTATACACAGACTTGGAATAAATGGGCATGTCTCTATTGGCATATAGGGAACATATTCATTCTTAGAACGCAGAATTTTATCTCATGTGTTTATAATACCCAAAGCTACCCTTAAGGAATGTCAGATTGATTTTTTACCTGTCATGAAATTTAACTGATTATTTGAATGTCTCAGTGACAAGATATGATTCCAGTAATCATTATTTCCACTGGGTCCATTTTCAGTGGTACCCCTGAACTAACAAAAACAATTGGTACGAGAAGAATTATATTAGTGGAAGACTGAGATAACCTTTTAGAACAAACCCATTTACTTAAACCCAGTCTAGGATCTCAGAGGTCTTACAACTTTTTTAAATCTGAACTGCGTTCAAAAACTGCCCCAATGCTCGATCTCTTACGCACATTCCCAGGATAACACACAGCAAGCAACCCATTTTGGCTAATGACCTAATTAAACTCTGTAACTGAAATTCTTGATTCCAAAGGAGAAGAGAAGGACTTTCATGAGTAGAAGGTCTCAATTTTCTCCAGGTCTAATGACCCAGAAATACTAGAAGAAAAATAGTGTACGGAAGAAAAGTTGTGTGGAGGAGAGCTGCGTAGAGAAGTGAATTAATTATATTTTAAAGATAGTAGGAAAATACAGAAGAAGAAAAAGAAAACAGAATCCAAACTTCTCATCAGAGAAACTGCTACATCTCTTGTACTCAAAAACTGTAGAATTAAACTGAGAATGTGCAAAATAAGACAGGTAAAACTAACAATGGAAACCGAAGAAAATAATAAAAGTTTCTTGCCTCACATTAAGTCATGGAGAGCAAAGAAAAAAGCAAAATGAAACTTTTTTTTTTTTTAAAAAAAAACACATATATAGCTTGAAATCTATTTTTTTTTGTTGTTGTTCTGTCCACTTATGTCTACTGTGCTTTATCTTCAACCAAAGTCACCAAGAAGTCTAAATCCTTCTTAGGAAGAGTCCATTTTTCTTGAAGGGTAAGATTATTCAGTTGCAGCTGATTCATATAATGACAAATGTCAACCTGTTCAAAACTCCCCATCCAGATATAGCTGAGGTATTGTAAGGATGCAGTAAAATACATCAGTATAAGGAATAAGTATGAATGCAGTTCATTTGGCAAAACTGAAACACACACATTCACACAGGTGGATCTTCAAAAAGCATTAAGTTTAATTGTAGTGTCCAAAAAACATGAGTCTTTAATGGGCAATTTTATTGGTGGTGACCGATGAAACAGAGAAAGAAACTAAACCCAATAGACAGCCACAAAGGGGAAAGGAATAAGGAAGGTTCTAAAGAAAAAGAAAAGTCTTTATGCTGGTGCATTTCTTACACCAGATGACAAGAAAGGAAATGACGTCAAATATTATATGGGTCCTTTTGGAAACATCCATTTCCATAACTGGAAAGGGAAGAGGTGGGAGCAACAGTTAATTCCATTATGAGGAAGGAAGATAGGGACAAGAAATTATTTTTTGCCTGATCATTAGGAAGTCAAGATAGCTCATCATTTCTTTGTCAGCTCCAGTGCCGGATTATTTTCATTATTTGCTGAGATTTAGTTTTATTTTTGTTGCAAAGAGAAGATAAGATAAGAAACAAAGTTTTTTTTTTCCCATAACCAAACTCAGAGGAGCATATGCAGAAATGTTATCTGTAACAGATAATTACATAACTTCTTTGCATAAATGACAATAAAATGAAACACTAATTGAAGATCAAGGGCTCTGCTTACTACTGCCCCCTTTACGTTTTTATCTCATACTGCTGTGAGCTTCCCCTGACTTCAATAACACTGTCAACAGGAACAGCTGTATCTCTGCAAGGGACTTTGGGGGACCGGGTGGCTATAGGAACCCCTGACCTGATTAAAGTCCTATTAACATTATTTGAATAAAATATCACAAAACTCAAATCAGGTGAATCAAGTTGAAAGATTTGAAAAATAACAAAAGTTTTTAAAAGATTGTGTTATTGCAAAATGTGGGATAAGTATATATCTAAGTATCACCAAATAAGCTTTGGTGTGCTCTGTTTTAGCACAACATTTCGGGATATGCCGTTGAAAGTAATTTAACTAACAAGGGCGGACAGCTGTCAAAGTACTACTGCATCCTTTAGGTCAGAAATGAGACTTCACTCTATAACATGCTGGGGGCATGGCTTGTATATGAGGTGGTAGGGAAACACTGGTGGGGAAGGAGGGTGTTCAACATCTTTTCAGAGGATAGAAATGCAAACGTGAGGAGCATTGCCTTTGCATTCTCTGCTGTAAACCACCTCCCCCGCCCAATGCCAGGTAACAGAAAGGTTAACCAGAGAATACGTTACTTTAGTGTACCATTTTGTGGTGAATACATTTGTTCCAGTTGGTTTATAGTTAAAGGTAAGAGTTGTTCTCTTTTCCTGTATTCTTTCACGCATTCTACCTGTCACCTGAGCAATGCTATGAAGGTTCTCTCTTTTAGTAAAACACAGTAGGCAGTGTGCGCATTTGTGCATGTGCACATGTGATATGGGGGTAAACCTGCCAATCTGGGGCTCAGAGATGATTTCAACTACATGTGAAGTGCCCAACTGATTCCCAAGAAAGTTGCTGCTATTCAGGGGAAGGCCCGTAGCAAACAACTTGGAACAACAGATCCTGTAATTGGATTTTAATTTTTAGTAAAATATCTGAAATTATTTTAAGAGATCGGAAGGCGGTACAATTAAAGCAAACACATTCCTAGCTGCATTGGTCTGTTGCAGCTTCTGCCTTGAGCCTGACTGCTGTGTCAGTATCTTTGCCAACTGGTAATGGCCTTCCAGGAATCAGAATTACAGCTCGACTCCGACATGTTTCCTTTCTAAACAGGGTAACAATTCAGAAATGAAATGCATGTCTGTATCTCTCTTTTTTATATATATCTCATTTATCTCCATTTTAAGAGCCAATAATGAGATGAATTAAGCGGTGATGCCCCTTCATTTTTCCTCATTAGGATTTCTGGCTATTTCAGCCTTACTTGTGCTGAAGAATTACTTCAGGGATACAGCCATCTTGCAATTTCTCTTCATTAAACTGGAGGAAGTAGAAGTATGTAAAAATCACATTGTCCCTGTTGTGTCAGCAGTCAGGACGAGGAACTTAATGGTTATAAATGGGCTTTCTCTTATAAAAATATCTCATGTGCAAAGGTAAATGTATTTAAAACACTGTATATACTTTTTGGTTGCTCATCTCAGTATTCTGCTTGATAACAATTTCTCTGTTGTATGAAAACTTTCTCATTTTTAAAATGCGAAAAGGGATTCTATTTACTCAGAATGAGGAAGAATGAAAGGGCCAAATGTAGCTTTAGATTTTTTTTTTTTAACATTAGGATTTCATTTCTGTCTTCAGCACTTCTTTCATAAACAACACAGGAACTGTCTGTATACTGTTCCTCAGCAGTGT